CCTCTGCGCTGCCGCTGAACGCAGGAGATGATTTAAAGCAGCGTCACGTTGCCTTTTGATCTGTGATGAAACCTTCAGCTCCAATAAGCCTGCTGCTGTCCTGCAGGTGTCAAAGTTCACCTCGGGCAGGAGGCACCTCTAATGAGAGAACATTTAAAGGGAGAGTAATGCAAAGTTCAGATAACGGACCGCTGAATCGCCCATCATGCGCAAATATCGCTCTTTTCCTTCACGTTTTTTATTAAATTCTCTGATCTGTCATTAAATGCGTCTTTTAAAACATTGACTCAGTCTTTGTACAGACTGCCACCTGGTGGAGGATGATTCCCATGTCAGTGTTTCCTCCCCTTGAAGTCCTTTTAAGTTCAGTTTTCTGTCTTTTTGCTTTCTAATCATGCTGTTTGTAGATGTTTGTAGATACCCTGCACCAGATGAGTCTGTACAACCCAGCTATTCAAGTCACGTGATGTCAGGGCAAGTGTGGTCTTTAGGGTCCGCTTGCACATGGGGTTCATTTAAGGAGCCATCTGTGCTGTTTGGTGTAAGATTAACTCCTCCAGCTGATGTCTCCAGTCTCGATTAGATTGTGGATTAGATTTGATATCTTACAGAGAACATAAAGTTCAGAACAAAGATTATGTCTTTTAGGTCAGGTCACTGTTTAAAACTCACAATCAGTGTGACATTTTTACATAGCTTCTGTTTCTTTGTAAAGCACTGCCTCATAAAGCTCATTGTGAAGAATGTCTACACCTGCGTTACACAACACCATCTCATGGATGAACAAGGGTGGGTAAAGCAGGTCTACATCCAGCGCACCCTTATCTTCTGTAACAAAGCTGCTGAAGAGGATTATGCTGCTGTTGCCTCAGAAACTTAGTCACCAGTGGAAAGAGAGCACAGATAGGGGTGGGGAGTCCACGCAGAGAGTAGAAACAGACAGGCAGGCGATACTACTGCTACAACCCTTCACACACACACACAGCACCAGCTTTTTTTTTTCTTTCTTTTTTTTTTTTAGGCTGACACAGATTTTTTCTAAAACCTGCCACCATGTGGCACCCTTTGATTATCGGCATCATGACAGTGAACACCTCTCTAACTGTCTTCTACTGGGCCTTCATCCTGGGCGATGCTTACTACAAGTGGCTGATGGAGCCAGAAGACAAGCCCAAGAAGGTGGTCGCCCCAGCTTGAGGGAGCCAGTATGGATCTACCTGAATGAGTGACTGGATGTTATTTGCTTAGGAATACTCTGCTCAGCTAGTAGTGCTTACAGTGAATTTCTGCTTCTTTTTTTATGTATTGATTTATTTATTTTTTTAACTGGAAAAGCCTTGGATTCCTGTTTTGAATTGAAAAAATAACCTAAAGCAATCTGCAAGTTGATGAGAAGAATCATTCTTACAGGTAAAGTGTCAATTTATCTTAATATTTATTTTGCATCATTTTATTGTGTGTTAGCTACATTTGTTGCTTGCAGTGTGAATCAACACACACTCTTCACACACCATCCGCAGGCAACAGGTCCTTCAGGTGACACTAAATGAACCGTTTAAGCTTTCTGCTGACTCGGTGAAAAGGTCTTGGTGGTGACACTGGCATGAGTCAAGCAAATCCTGTTAGGATTACTAAACTACTAAACACCACCTCTAAACTGGCACAGTTGGTGTTACTTTCGTAACAGCTTCATCCTGAGACACATTCAGAAACCCTCGTCTCATCTCTCGTTTGCATCTCTCCTGAAAGCTTATTTTTCACTCTTCCTCCTTTTCCTTTTTCTCTCTATTTTATTTTATTTTTTACATCTCTCCACAACATGTCGCACGTCTTCTACTGGGGTATGCACCCAGTCTCGTGGTTCATTCTTTTCGCCAATATAGCCGTAACGGTCATTGAATGGAAGTTTCTTGTCAGTCAGTTTTACAAACTTAACTGGAAAAAGGAAGAACAACAAGCCAATGCCTAAAATCCTGGCGGAAACCACATCCACATCCTGATGCTGCACTGAGAATATTTGTGAGGATAAAAATATCTCTCTCCATATATCTGTACATATCTATATATATCTATATCTATATCTATATAGATATATAGATATATATATATCTCACCTGTTTACCTGCCCACATGTACAGAACAACAAGATTGTGTAGCTTTAGGCTTGTTATCAAAGGGCAGCCACTATGCAACGCTAACCTTATGCTGTGTTTTTGTGGTTATTTCCAGAGCTGCTTCTGTACATTTCACCCCAGAATTCAAAAACGAAAAACCAGAGGAATCGTCTCAAGTCCTTGCTGCAGGCAAGTTCATTTTGTTTCCCTGTGACACTCCAATGCAGTGCTGTCTTCCATGTCATCTGTACCATTTTCTCATCTTTTGTCATATGAATGGAGCTGCTCTCTGGCTCTTTATCATTTTTACAAGAGTCATTTATAAAGAAAAATACGTTAAGATGTGCACCTTCTCTACCTGCAATGATATCGTGCTCTGTTAGGGAGCAAGAACTCATTCATGAAAGCATTGTTTCATGTTAGTGAATTATGTGACATGTCACAAGTGCCAAATTGTGTATAAGATCATTTGAAAGTATCTATAAAGTGATGCCAGTCTGGATCTGAGTGAAAGTGGGTTCACTGTAATATACATATCATATCTTTATGCAAGGGGGACCATAAGCCTCTTTGGCATATTACTGTCCACCTCTCCTCGCTCATATCTCTAATCCCCACAGATGGAAAGCTGATATTGCTCTATGACAGACTCAATCCTATTAACTCCGTCTGTCCTACATTCACTTCTCCTCTGTCTCGCTCTCCTGGACCGAAGACCCTCTGTGCAAAAGATGAGAAGGAGGAATTCTGGGATTCAAGTCTAGACCAAAGATTAGAAGAATTGGCACATGGGTAGTATCAGGCTTTACTTGTCAGCTGAACTACATTTCTGTAGAGCCATTTTGTGACAGGGAGCTGTCACTGCTGAGAAACAGTACTCTCAGTTTCAAACCATCCGCACATTTCCACCTGTCACTCATCCTTCCGACACCCAGAAGATGTTGAAAATGTTCTAATGCTTAGTTTGTTTCCCTCCTCCGCCTCCTCTTCCTCCTCCTCCTCCCCGGTGCACCTGTATCACCTGTTCTCCAAACATTCACAGTGCAGGAGTGAAGGAGCGCAGATCTGCAACAAGACAATAAATCTGTCATCACCCAAAGAAACAGCCCCGAAGCTTCAACGCTTTCTGTGAGCTGACAAAACCATAAAAAGAGTTTCAAAAACCGGCCAAGACAAAACATGAACCGGCAACCAAATGTGTCCCTGAACGCCTCAGGAGGAGCTCTGCTTTCAAACTTCACACAGTCTGCGTTTGAGCTCCGGCAACTCCTCCAGCTGTCTAGAAGGAAGGAGGAGGAGGAGCAGGAGGTGTATTTTGTGGACTACATCCCCCCTGCAAGAGATGCTATAACTCTCCCACCCAATGTAGTCTATGTAATAGTTGGGGTGGTGGTGATCATAGTGGCCACCTACGCCATAGTGGGACACCTCATTGATGACCTGTTCCATGACCTGGCAGGTAACCCCAGGTGGACACATCCTGAACTGATGCCACCGTGTCCACTCTGGCATCTGTGTTTGTGGTGTCCTTTCTGTCCCTGAGCTCTCGTGAATCAACATTTGATCTTTTCCTTGTTTTGATGACAGTTTCCTTCATGTTCACCCTCTGGTTTGTGGATAGGATAACCTTCCCAGTGGTGTCTGTTATTCCTTTAAGGTGAATGTCAATAGCTGATCAAATGGGTGCTAAAAAAAAGCCATCTTAAAGGGGCGGTCAATGTTCAATTTGTGCAATTCCACAAAGTTCCTGCTTTGGCTATTTAATAACCCCCCAAAAGAAACAGCATCCTCTATGCTGCAGTTTGTCGTGCATGACATGACAACTGAAGTGAATCTAAACCTGGTGCAATGCCCCTTTAAAGGATACACAGAGAAGACATAAAAATAAATCATTTTAATTCATTTCCAACATGTTTCCTCTTACAGACTGGATATTTGGCCCCAAACCAGTGGAGGATGATTCAGAGGGAGGGGATGCAGAAATAGAGGAAGAGAGGCGACTCAGCGTTTCCAGCAAGCTGGTGGAGAAAGATGAGATCAGAATGGAGGAAGAAAAAGAAGGCCAGCTGCCTGGTTTCCACCAGGGAGACGCAGGCCGCTGTCGTCCATCCACCCCTCCGCTGAGAAGCGCCATTGCTTCGTCATACCCTGGAGAAAAAAGGATTTCCACACATAGTGTGACCTTCGCCTGCCCCGTGGCCCCTTACGTCACTTCCCTTTGAGTTTTTTCATCTCAGCAGTTTTTATTACGTCTTAATCACAGTGCAGTGATCAGTGATGTCCTCGCTGTAGTGATGCAGAGGCTGAAGCACTTTTGTTTTATGCTGGTGTTATAGTTAGCGCGCAAAAAATGTACAGGAAAATGTTGTTAGTGAGCACGATCCATACTGTCAGTCTGTTTCTACTGCACCATGCTGAAAGTCGCTGTCCAATTGCTCGTGGTAAAAACTGTAAACAAATTAAGTTTCAAGTAAAAATATCAGTTATGTTAATAGCTTAACTTTACATCTAAAAAAAGTTCATTGAAAACACACTGTGTCCAGTTTGTCCACAAGGCTAGACAGAAAGTGTTGTGAAATTGCAAAATCAAAAAGACCTGTCATGTTACATGTGCTTGTAATGTGTTTCTGAAGAAAACGTACATCACTTCTCCTGGTGTTGGACTAAGCTTCTCCCCAATAAACAACTCGATAATACACGCTCGTTCCTCCTGTCTTGTCTGCTTTCATTAATCCATCTTACCTTCTCATAATACCTGCTTGTGTCCAGGGTGATGACCTTGTTTATAAATGCAGAGGATTATTGCACTTGAGCATATTAAATACAGCTGAGTGATGTAAGATAAATAGATAGATAGATAGATAGATAGATAGATAGATAGATAGATAGATAGATAGATAGATAGAGACAAACAGGAAGTTTGTTCACATGAGATACAGCTTTGCATTTATTTTAAATCTTACTTTAGCAGTCATTAGTCATAAGGCTGAACAGCTGTGAATTAGAGGATCTTCACAGCTTCCTTGATTCATGCAAAGAGTTTCATTCACGATTTCCTGAATTTTGAGTAAGTTTGCTGTTGTTACAATGCTGACATTGGAGAGTGTGATATTTCCTCCTGATCTCTTTGTATTTTGCACAGAACGTTCTGTGCGATTAAATCTTTGTGCCGGCTTCTTAATACAGCGATGACCCACAGATATTAACTGGACTCGCAGGCTGACAGCAGAGGCAGCCAGACAGCAATGGACAGCGTAAACGTTCGTCATAAAGAGGAAGATGGCACAGTGTTATTTGAGTCATATATCCCTCCTTCTCGGGATGCTATCCACCTGCCCACCTACGTCCTCTACCTGCTCATAGCCGTCTTCATCGTGTTTTCGGTTCTCTACGCCATCACGGGCCACCTCATCAAAGACCTCATCCATGACTGTGCAGGTTTGTTACTGTACCGCTAGCTTTTTAAAGACCAGAATAATCAAACCACAAGCTACTGGCAACGCTTCTGTCTGACATCTGTCTCCTACCCTCTCTTTCTGTACTCAAGACTGGCTGTTTGGGGAGCAGCCTGCAGAAGTGGTGGTGAACTACTGTGAGGCCAAGGATAAGTTCATGGCAGACTGGTCCCCACAAACCAGCCCTGAAGTAGAGGCAATGGCCCGGGAAGAGGAGAACAAGGTGATTGACAGAGACTTTATGAAATCTCCTGCCATCTGGATCATCTCTACAGAACCACGAGGGACAAAAACAGGACCCCGCGTGGTCTTTGGGAAAAGGACTTGAACCCATCAGAGACTTGCTGTCGTTACAGACCTTCTGTATGTGATGTGAATGTATAAATATCTAGATGGATGATGAAGGTAAAGAACCATTTCTGTGTGAGGCTCAAAATAGATTATTAGATTTAATTTCAATATTGTGCAAAATAAGATTAAAAAGTAAGATTAAAGATTTTAGTATAAGCCTTTGTGTGGATTTTTTTTAAAATATAAATGTTTTGTGGAACATGTGCATGTAGCACTGATCTATCATGTGGAGTAGTAAACAAGTATCCTGTGAAAATAGTAGTTCTGAAAAGTCAGGCCATGAAAGTAATGGTACAATTACATTCTTCTCAATAATAATGATGATTTTTCTGTTAACAATAATTATCATTATTATTATTTTTAGGTAGCCTCAGTCAGTCTGCTGCTGAATTTATTAAAATAAATTGATTATTTATTTTCAATTTCATGTTTGGATAAGGTGTAACTTTGTAACTACTGTGTAGAAATGTACACCTCGCAAAAAGGACAAGGCAGCTAATTTGGCAGCAGACATTTATGAACAGAATATAATGCTGCACAGTAAACAGGACCACCCCACTTGCATTTGAAATGCAATGGTAGGCGAGAAAAGCACCTCCTGTGAGATGCATGGCACTGCATGCTGAGACAGTGACGTGGTCTTATGTTATTCCAAACTTGCAGTTTCTCATTAAGTTTCTTCATTTAAATGTGAATGTAACTGCCTTTTGTAACTTTGCAACTCTTTTTGTGTATAATGGCTGAAGGCTTCAGCGGTCCTATAAGGACATCTAGTGTCTGCTGTAGTCATTGCAGCTGAATATTATTTCAAACTGGAAAACCTCTGGAAATAAGGTAACTCATTTTTAAAAAATGAGAAAATATGAAGATGATCTTCAGAATCTTCGATTTCAACAATTAATATTTTATATCTTAAAAAGGTGGTTCTACATTTCTCCTTTACTTTCATGTATTTATTTATTTATTTGAGAAAGCTCTAAACTCACTCCACACGCTTTAGAGTTTTCAGACGTTTTCACAATCGTATTCTACATTTCATAGACTATTTAATTTCTCATAAGTCTAAAGATCAGTCGTAGATTTCAATGCAAAATCAATCAGTAAATAAATAAATAAAAGCTTTTCCCGTTGTCTGTAAACTCTCTGTGTTCCTCTTTTATGAGACTCTCGGTTCCCTGCTATAGGGATCAATGATCAATTTGAAGCTTGGCTGCACTGTTGTAGGTCACAACCAGTTTTAATGCGTCAGTGCACACAAAGATCCACCGAGCACTAAAGCCCAATCTCAGTCCAGGAGAGGGCGCTGTGGCAGAAACAGCCCTGTAAACTGCGTGCTGCCACGTGGAACTTGATGGCTGATAGAGGTGGGGTGTTCTTCTAAGTGACATGGACAGAGGCTCCTGATGAGGCAGTAAACAATAAACATCTTTACTCTCATTTTTGTTCCCCTATCAGCTGAAATTAGAGAGCATTTGTCCTTCAGCCTGGAGCTGTCTCCATCTCTTTCTGTCCTGATCATTTTTGAGAGCAAATTAGCTCCACATTAGTTCCGTGACTCCTAACAAGATTACCAAAGCTACATCCGCTCCTCACATCCACTCGCAAACAATGCCACAATCTCATTAACTCTGTCCCCCCCTAATCCCTTCACCCTTTCAGAGCGCCCCTCCACCACCATTCTCCTTAAACAGATAAAAGTGTGGCCAGTCTCTGCAGCTGTGTGGAACACACAAAGTCTAAATTTGCTTTGTCACTCAGGTTGAATTAAAAAAACAAAAACAAAAAACAAAACCCCAACAATCTTATAATAAGCCGTAAAAACAGAGCTATAATCAGTCCCAGCAGACTTGAAAGCATCCTGAAATCACTTTACTGAAAATAACTGAGTCACTGATGAGATTATTGGTTCTGGGATTAATATAATCTGAAGGTTACAGTATGGTTAGTCTATAATTTAGGATTCTGATCTGGAAATCATTTGAATCTCTAACATTTATTTCATGCGTTCCTGGAAAATACATTTGAGATGGAAAAGGCCTGCGCTGTTAAATCTGATATATTACATCAGATAAGTGAGTGAAAGTAAACTCGCTTCCAGCCCATCAGTAATAAGAAATCATATCATCACTTACTGTTCCAAAACGACTTCACATCAGAACCAAAAAAGCTGTTTTATTGCTATTTATAGTGTCAAATATCTACTGTTTTCACCATTGTTCTCCAGAGTTTATTATTCGTATGACTGCATGACAAAGAGCAGGACTATAGCATAATTAATATTTAACACAACTACTGGGCAACAGTTTTGCTTTGAAAACAGGGAAACCTGCAATTTCCAATTAAATCAGTAATGTAGGCTACACATTACTGGTAAAGAAGGCAACCCAACCCTGTGGTGTCTATATCTTTAAAAGAGTGGGTATATTCCTGCCCGCAGCTGCTCTCCTGGAGGGCTGAATCAACATTAGTGGCACTCTCTTGTGTGGGCTCGTAGCATCCTTTGCTTTTCATTTTCAGGGCGCGCATCCTCTCTCTCACACACACACACGCACACACACCCCCTCCAAATCTGAGCGGTGCGCGATGCCTCGGCCGCTGCGGATAGCGTGCTCCTGTGTGGATGTGGCTCATGTACTCCAAACAAAAATGAGTGATGTACGGCTGATTTGAACGCAGCGATGCTTTCCGGCATGGATGCCCGTTAAATAACGGAATAGCCTTTATGGAGTGGAGCTCATCGTCGCCGGAGCAAGTCTGGGGAGAGTCAGAGAGGTGAGGTGGCTGATTGTGTGCGGGGGGACACCGCAGCGGAAGACGGATGCTTATTTGGCATTTTTAACAAAAACACGACTCCGGCGATACAAACCGCGGTTTCAATCAGAGCACTGACTGCTGCTACAATCAGGCCATTTCAGTTATTTTCTCTCACTTGATGTTCACCCATCATCCATCCTGGATAAAAGGCCGTTTTTCTCTCCTCACAGGGCTACTCTATCACACACAGTAGCCGCGGATCGGAGAATAAAGCTATCGGGGGCGATGCAAATGTCTCTCTGTGATTGCGCATGTGTGTGCATTTGTCCTTACACGAGCTACATTTGTAAAAGGGTTTCTGATGGAAGATGCAATTAAAGACGCGGTGGTTCTGACCTACTTTGCAGGAATAAACATAAACTGCATGCACCAACTAGGCTGCTTAAAGGGCTCATCGGTGCAGGTGGGCAGTAGGGCCCTGGAGGCGCTCAATGCAGCTGTCCTAGAAGTGATAACTAAGGCTGAATTCCTTCATGTACGCCCACCAAGTGCTTAAGAGATGAAAGCTTGACTTTCATTAATAAGGGATGGTTTTTGATAACCACTCATCACATAGCTCAAATTCTCCATGGTGACCACACCATCTGACCTATATCTGCATTAAGGGAACAGTTGTGTAAGACAGTTGTGATTTGGATGCGCTGTTTACCAAAATACTACAGCATGTATACCATTTGTCCACCTGGTGAACTTTTAAAACCCTTTGGCATGCATACAGCTGTCTTTACATTTACTGACCCAGCAGCTGTCAGGGGCATTCCCCATGAAGTGGGGGAGCACTGATGGGGCAGTAGCAGTTGGCCTAATGTTGGGCATATTTGTCTGTATACTGTTTGGGTGTTGACCCAGACTGTCTGCATCTTACTGCCGTTATTTCTAAACTGATTAGGGGTGACTGTAAAGGCAAACACCCCCTCCGTTGGTAGTGAAACTCAGTTGAACTTTGACCCCGTGGCTCCTCTCTTATCTCTTCTCTCCCCTGCTGAGACTCCAATACAAAGGTGCAAATGACATCATGCTGTTATACTGAAAGGGCTTTTAGTGGCTTTTAAATCTCAGGAAGAGCTCTTTGTTTTTAAGGGCACGCAGTAAAACGGAGAGACCGTTACTTGGCTGTTTTGTGTTGGAATGGATCTACTTGTGCAGGTTTTCACTCACTCTTGTCTTGTCTGTTTATATTCATTCAGAGCTGACTTCACTTTTTTGCCATTTCTTTCACAGTACTCAAGATCCTTCATCTAAGATCACAGGTCACATGACAGGGTTGTATACACACACACATACATAACTTAATATTTCCATATGAGTTTTCAGTTTTTTTGAACGCACCTTTTCCTCTTGTTTAGATTTGTGCAGTGATGAAACAGACAACTCTCCCCCTCTCCAGCTTCACACGCTCAAGCAGTTCGAACAGGTGAGAGCTTTTATTTTTAGATATCATGGAGTTTTATGTGAGGGACACTTCTTCATCCCCATCATGCTACATTTGAATTAATTATGTGCCAGATGAATACATGCTTCATGCTGCCATCTAGTGGCTTCATGGACTCACAGAAAAAAAAAAAAGATAAAGTCAGAGATCAGTATTGAGGAAATAAGGATAGTCTAACCCAGGACGCACATACTCCAACCATCTGGAGAGGATGTTTTAAAAATACCGTACTGAAAAGGAGAGCACCTGCGAGTGGAGAAATGTGGATGGAAAACACCCAGAACTCTCCTGGTATTTTAAAAATCTGCCTCTGGCTACTGCATGGCCCACTTTAGGTTTCCAGTGTCTGCTGCACTATTGCTGGGCATTGTAGCAGTCACATTAGAAGAGAGTATATTAAGTATTCCTTTTAATGTCTGGCAGGGTGCTGTTCAGAGCACTCAGAATATCACTGACGCAAACTCCAAGCCAAAGTCATAATTAGCATTTTAATGTTTTCTGCAGTTTTTTTTTTTTTTTTAAAAAAAAGACATTACAAATAAAATGTTATTTGCAAATGAATGTTCCCTTGCCTACACAGTTAGGTTCATAAACTGCATTTTTTTTGTACTTTTCCCTCTGTACTGACATGGATAAGCAGAAGAAAATAGATATGGATTGTTTTTAATACTTGGATGCAGTCAATGACTGTCTGAAGTCTAAAACCCATGGACATCACCATATGTTGTATTTTTTCCCTGGAGATGCTCTGCTGGATCTTTACCGCTGCCATTGTCAGTTGCTGCTTGCTTGTGGGTCTTTCTGCCTTCGGCTTGTACTGAATAGCCATAAAAGCATGCTCTGCACAGTTGAGATCAGGTCACTGGCTTATCCATAGATAAATATCCCATTTCTGTGCCTTGAGAATCTG